ACAACCGGGTACAAAATTTTTTTTGTCAAAAAATTCCCATTTCACTGAATTTCTAATAAAACTTTTTTATTTAAAGGAATCAATTTAATTCCTTCACTGACAGTCACCTTAGACCTCTAGCTTTAAATTCGTACACATATATTTGTATAATATGCACATGGAAAAATGTTGTAAGGCAAAAACAAAAAGGTGCCCACAACCGGAACACTTCCCTTACACATTTCGGAAAGATATTTTAAACTTTCACCTACCTGATGCTTTTGTTAACATATCTGCTTTGTTGTTTGTGCAAAACAAATTCAGATCTGCTTTATTGTTCCGTTAAATAATATTAAAAATGTAAAATATTTTTATCTTTTAAATCCTTAAAAAAATGAAATTTAGTAGCAATATTTTTTGTTCTATTGATGAATTTTCTATTTTAAATGAGACAACTTTGATTATCTTCATGGATGACAGCCTTTTCTTGGGTTACATTGAAAAAATTTTCCAGTAGATTTTTAACGATATTATTTCTTGAGATGCTTCTGCTAGGGCGATATATTCCGCTTCCATTGATAAAAGAGAAACGCATGATTATTTACAACACCAATTTATTGAAAATCCATTGCATTTGAATAAATAGTCTATTTGATTATCTATCAGTTTTGTCTTCAGCCCAATTTGCATCGGCTATGCCAATAAGTCTAGTTATATTGTCATTATCACCTATCTTATGTTTGTAGTCTTTTGTGCCCTTCAGGTGGCGAAACATTCTTTTTACCTCCGTTCAGTCTGCAGTTAAAGGGTGCTTGTTGCAGTCCTTAAGATGGTTACACTTGCTGCTAAATTACACTCCTGGTTAAAAATTCAGCTACTTGGTTAATTTTATTTATATCACTGGATGCATTAAAAAAATCATCGACATAAATAACAACATGAATTTTGTTTTCATTGTTATCGTTTGAATATTTAAACAAAAATAAAACTTACTTTGCACAAATCCATTATCTATTAACAATTTGTGCAACTTATCATGCCACACTTTAGCTGCTTGCTTCAATCCATAAATTCATTTCTATAGTTTTCAGACAATATCTTCTTTACCTGGAATGGCATAACCTTCAGGCTGCTGCATAAAGATGTTTCTTGTAATGCGCATAGCTATATCTCCCTATATTGTCATCTGCATTTCTTGTTATTTTAAAAATCCATTTGCACGGTACGATGTTTTCTTTCCTAGTTTAGATATGATGTCCCAGGTATCGTTCTTCTTTTGTTTATTATTTTAAATTTAAAATTGATAAATTACACTTGTGAAAAAACGGCAATCAACTACACTCGACTGCAGTTAATTTTGAACTAAACCTTTTTAGTCCTTCAGGTATGTACCGTTTTTATAAACTTAAACTTGTCAGTATAAGTACAATTTTGTATGAGTATATGTGTATGTGTTTGTGGGAGTTTATCCCATTTCTACAATTTCGAAATATTCAACAATACAGTTTAGAGATATGTTTACGAAGAGAGAATTGGCAGCTCTATGATGAGCTTACCTCTAGAAGATTTTCCTAACATTCCTTCTAATCGCCTCAATATCTGTGAATTATTTAAGCAGATGATCAAAGCAATATTGTTCTAGGTACATTAGTAGTACTCAAGGAAGATAATTCGCCACCTATGAAATGGCGACTTGCACGTATAATCAAATTACATATATACAAGATTGTATAGTGCAATATGTATTAGAGACATTCTCTGAAAAAAAACCACTTAAAAAAATGCTGAGTTTTTTTCGGCAAAAATATGTCTTTTAGTACATCCAAAGACTAAGAGAAAAAACATGATTTTAGGTCCGTGCAATGCGGGGTTGCCATACTGTCAAGGGTTAAACTTTTTACTAAAATAATTTTCGAACCGCTATAACTTTAAAACAAATGAATGGATTTTAAAACGCCCAGAGAGTTTTTTCTGCAGAATTACCTAAACTTTAAAACTATGTATCACAAAAATTTTTTAAATTTATATTTCATAGAAAAAATTTAAAAAAAAATTTTTTTTCAATTTTTAACCCTTTATGCCCCCTTCAATTCTTTTCAAAATTGCCTCAAAATATTTTTTTTTATTACCTTTTTATCCCACCAAAAGAAATTTTTGGACAGCAATATTTGTATGAGTTACAAATTAAAAACTAGCTCAGCGCACGCTCTCAGTTCGAGAAAATGCTCTCGCGTATAGAATTCGAGTACCCAAAAATGCCGCTAGGTGGCATTGATAAATGCTTTCTTACAACCGAGTTTATTTACGCATATTATACATATCGCGACATTTTGTACCTATAACATTTTCTACTATTAATGAATGGTAACTTTTTTCAGAGTAAGTACATTTATAATTTTATTTTTTCTTTATTATTCATTGTCAAAGTTTTCTGAAAAATGACTTTTGTTAAATGTTTTATTCCATTTTAATTTAAGGACCATAAAAATAAAAATGTACGAAAAATCAATAACGGCAAAATTATTGGAGTACCTCAAAATTTGTATTTGTGCGACAAATGTCGCAAACAGGTTTCGACAGAAGGTTGACCTGAGATTTTTACTGTTGTACCTGAACAATCTACTTCTTCAGGAAATTTGAGTGAATTTCAAGTCGAAAACGAATTTAAGGATAATAATAAATTTGACTCTGAAAACGATTCTGATTCAGATTACATGTATGATACGTACAATAAGTCTACTAATGAAAGTAATACTTCTGCTGATTTTTTTTCAAATTTCCTGAAGAAATAGAAGGTTCAGGTACAACAGTAAAAATCTCAGGCCAACCTTCTGTCGAAACCTGTTTGCGTCATTTGTCGCACAAATACAAATTTTGAGGTACTCCAATAATTTTGCAGTTATTGATTTTTCGTACATTTTTTATGGTCTTTAAATTAAAATTAGACAATTAATGATAAAGAAAAAATAAATTTATAAATGTACTTACTGTGAAAAAAGTTACCATTTATTAATAGTAGAAAATATTATAGGTACAAAAAGTCGCGATACTTATAATATTCGTAAATAAACTCAGTTGTAAGAAAGCATTTATCAGTGCCACCTAGTGGCATTTTTGGGTACTCGAATTTTATACGCGAGAGCATTTTCTCGAATTGAGAGCGTGCGCTAAGCTAGTTTTTAATTTGTAACTCATACAAATATTGCTGTCCCAAAATTTATTTTGGTGGGATAAAAAGGTAATAAAAAAGAAATATTTTGAGGTAATTTTGAAAAAAATCGAAGGGGGCATAAAAAGTTAAAAATTGAAATTTTTTTTTTATTTTCTTTATGAAATACAAATTAAAAAATTTTTTGTAATATATAGTTTTAAAGGTTAGGTAATTCTGCAAAAAAAACTCTCTAAGCGTTTTAAAATCTATTCATTTGTTTCAAAGTTGTAGCGGTTTGAAAATTATTTTGGTAAAAAGTTTGACCCCTGACAGTGTGGCAACCCCGCATTGCACGGACCTTAAATCATGTTTTTTCTCTTAGTTTTTAGATGTACTAAAAGACATATTATTGCTGAAAATAACTGAGCACTTTTTTTAAGTGGCTTTTTTTCAGAGAATGTCTCATTAACCAATTCGTATGACGAACTTTTCATCTGCTTCGATCTATTGAATATCCTTATATTATATTAATTAACAACGTTAATTTAATCTTAACCCTTTCGCAGTCAAGACCAAAATCTCATAAGTGGGCTCAAAATGTCGACAACTTTTTAGAAAACTAAATTTGAGCAAACGAGCATACTATTGTAATTGAAGTCGCTGATTACGAAATTACGAATCCGATATCAGATTTTAAAAATTCAAAATGGCGGATCCAATATGGCGGACATGAAAAATAGAAATCGACTGAATTCACTTGAAACTTGTTACTCAGGGGTTTTCGGGGTCGCTGATTACGAATCCGATTTTGAAAATTCAAAATGGCGGATCCAATATGTCGGACAACATTTTCTAAAACTCATCGGATTCGCTTGAATCTTTTTACTCCGGGGTTTTCAGGGTCGCTGATTACGAACTTGATTTCAGATTTTGAAAATTCAAAATAGCGGATCCAATATGGTGAATGAAATTTTCTAAAATTCATCGGATTCATTTGAAACTCCTTACTAGAGGGTTTTCGCTGATTTCGAAAAACTTTTAAAACGATAGTAAATACAAAATTCTTCCCCGCAGTCAGCTGTTGAGTATACTACGTTAGCTATGACCCCAGAGTTTACATCATGGAGGTATGCGGTCGGATTTTACACTTCTTTATTTATTTTGTTTTTTATATTTTTTTGTTTGTTCTTATATTGCATCCACCATTTTCAAAACTGATATTACATTTTTAATCTACGACATCAATAAATCCAAAGTAACAACTTTTAATTAAATCTGATAAATTTTTTAAAATGGCGCCAGCCATATTCGAACCGCCACATTGTATTTTAAAAATCTGATGCTAGATTCGTAATCAGCGACCCCGAAAACCGCCGAGTAAGGAGTTTTAAATAAATCGGACGAGTTTTTGAAAATGTCGTCCACTATATTGGATCCGCCATTTTGAATTTTTTAAATCTGAAATCGGATTCGTAATCAGCGTCGCTGAAAACCCCCGAATAAGAAGTTTCAAGTGAATCCGATGAATTTTAGAAAATGTCGTCCGCCATATTGGATCCGCCATTTTGAATTTTCAAAATCTGATATCAGCTTTGTAATCAGCGACCCCGAAAAGCCTTGAGTAACAAGTTTCAAGTGAATCCGATGAATTTTTGAAAATATCGTCCGCCATATTGGATTCGCAATTTTGAATTTTTAAAATCTGAAAACGGATTCGTAATCAGCGACTTTGAAAACCCCCGAGTATCAATTTGTGGACAAATCTGTGTGTTTTTGTAGCCAAAAATCTGCTTGCGTCTATACACTATAATTGGTTGCCCGGTTTTCCAATTAAAAGGTGGGAAAGGGAAGGAAAAGAGAAACAAAGAAATACTATAAAATGATATTTATCTGACTTACTTCGATGTTCGTAGAGTTTAATCACAATTCACCACTAGACCGACAATCAAGGCGAGTAGAAGGGAAACGACACAGCTGTCAAGAAACGAGTCTCAGTAACAAGTGTCGCGTCTGTCCGCGAATCTGGCGATTGACACCCTCGAGGCCCTTCGGCCGTTTCCGGGTTCAATCGCCCGATTCGCAGCAGGCGCGCGAGAATTTGTAACGCCACGTTACACCCCCCTTCCCCTAAACAGGACGAAGTGTAACCCCTTACAACAAGCGAACTAAAATTTTATTTGATTTTCTGACAATTCGTCGTAGTTGGTATCGAGACTATAAATTCTATGTTTTTTTAGTAATTTTCGCTATTTTTTTTGAATTTTCTACTAGACTATTCTCCAAAAATTCCTGAAGTTCCTCTCGTCGTTTGTCCCAATTGGCTCGTACGTATTTTCTCTCGTTCGCTGATGGTTCACAATAACCTGCTCTCGCCTTAAGGTTTATTTTCTCGCAGAATTCGTCGTGTAGAATGTAGTGGGATTTCCATACTTTTCTCCTACAAAATCTTCATAGCCAAATTTCCTTATTTTCCATTGTTCTTCTGTAACATTTAAAAAAAAGAAATTTCGTTTTTCTTAATTTTGGGGAAAAAAAGGAAAAATAATAGTTTATTTTAAACTTGTTTGTTTGTCTTGTTGCTTATTATGAATAAAGAAAAAGGTTATTTGTTTTTATTTGTGTTATATTTATTTTTTCTTCGTATAGACTTGAATTCTTTTTTATTTATTTTTTGTTTATTATTAGGAGAAAAAAATGATGTGAAATTAATATTTTCTTGTTTGTATGTAATTTTAAAAGAAAGTAATTTTTAAGTTTTTAAGCAGAATGAATGTGAAGTAATTGTTAGTTTTAATATATAAGAAAATGATTGACTTAGTAGTGTCATATTTTATTATGTTGAATTGTTGTGATTTTGCAATTATTATTTTCGATGTATACCTCGAAATTTTCTTCGACAATTTCGTTTATATTTTCCTCCACATTTTCTTCTATGTTGTTCTCGATGTTTTCCTCGAAATTTTCTTCGACTATTTCGTCTATATTTTCCTTCACATTTTCTTCTATGCTGTTCTCGATGTTTTCCTCGAAGTTTTCTTCGACCATTTCGTTTACATTTTCCTCCACATTTTCTTCTATGTTGTTCTCGATGGTTTCCTCGAAATTTTCTTCGACCATTTCGTCTACATTTTCCTCTACATCTTCGTTGATGTTTTCTTTTATATTTTTCTCGACCTTTTTTTCGATCATTTGTTCAAGGATTGTGGCTTGGCTTAAATTTTCCGAGTCGTTTGATGAGTCTTCTGAGGAATCGTCTGAGGAATTTTCTTCGTCTATTATTTCATAGTTTATTGCTGTTAATGAGGTTCGTAATTCTTCAAGTGTCAGTTTTTTGACACTTAGTAATTTTTCTTCCATATTATTTCTCTTTCTAATTTTTCTCTAATTCATGTTTTCGTTGCCAATTTGTAAGCCGGATTTCCTCCCTGGCGTACTCTTCCCACGTTTTGACGTATGCTGCCATTTTCTGTAAAAGTAAATTTTCATTTTAGTTCACATTCGTTAATGTAAAAAAAAATTAAAAATAATTGCTTGTTTTGTCTTATTTTCTTACAATTTTCAGTCAATTTTCGTGCAATTTTCTTATAATTTTAATATAATTTTCCTATATTTCTTTTAATTTTCCTGAAATTTTCGTATTATTTTCGACCAATTTTCTATTATTTTTGTCTGATTCTACTTAATTTTTCCGAAGATTTTTTCTAATTTTCATTTTCCACGAATTTTTGCAAATGATTTATATTCCACGATCCTATCGATTTTCCTCGAATTTTCCCTAATTCGTACATTGTTGGGAAATTTTTCGAATTATTTTATATGGGCCTTCGAAATCTTTTTTCAATTTACGCGCGATTCCTAAATCTTTGTTAAAAAGAGACTTGTCTTTTTTCCATACAAGATCTCCTACTTCGAATTTTATTTTCCGCCTACGTAGATTGTAATATTTTGCTTGATTTTCATTCGCTTTGTCCAAATTTCGTTGAACTTCGTCTTTAATAATTTGTAAATGTCTTAGTCTTTCTGTCCATTTGTCAACCTCCTGAAATTCGATTTCGTCCGGGTTTTCAAAATCTTTTTTCAGTGTTTGAAAGGGTTGAAGCTCACGACCTAAATTGAGGAAAGCTGGTGAAAATTTTGTCGACGAATATTTTGCTGTATTTAGGGCAAATTGCAAGTCTTCGATATCTTTATCCCAAAGATTTTGCTCTTTGTCTAAATAAGCTTTTATTGCCGTTTTGATAGATCTGTTCGTTCTTTCAGTGGGATTCGCTTGTGGGTAGTATTTCGGTGTAAACGAATGCCTGATACCAAATTTTTCCGACATTTCCCTAAATATTTTATTCGTGTTTTCAGTACCGTTGTCTGAAATTAGAATTCTGGGGGTTCCCCATCGCGAAATAATTTTCTTGTGAAATTCGGGTAAAGGGTAAAGGGCCTATAATGTCTGAGGCAACCATCGTCCATGGCTCCTCTATTATTCGTTTTCCCATTGGTCCTATTTTCGGTTTGCTGTTTGCTTTCGTCTGTTGGCAAACTTTACATTTTCTAATATATTTCACGATATCTGTATACATTCCTGGCCAGAAAAAATTTTCGAAAATTCGATGGAAAGTTTTTTCTACACCTAAGTGTCCTGCCTGTATATTATCGTGATTTTCGGTTAAGACTTGTTTTCGCAAATTTTCTGGAATTACTAATTTCCATGGATTTTCATCTTTAAGGAGGGGAGATTTTAACGGATCGGGTCTATGAAAATATAATTGTTTGTCTCGAATTTGCCAATTTTAGTGTTCGTGAGGTTTTGATCCTACTAATCTCATTTTCGTTTTATACCAATTATTTTCTGTTTGATTTTCGCAACTTTCGATTTTTATTTCCTCAAAAATTTCTTGTTTTTCTTCGAAAACTCTCGACAACGCATCTGGAACTACGTTCGCTGAACCTTTTCGATATATTATTTCGAAATCATGTTCCGACAGTTCCAACGCCCATCTCGCCAAGCGTCCTGTAGGATTTTTCAAATTGTCTAGCCATTTTAAAGCAATGTGATCAGTTTATTACTTTAAAATGACTACCTTCTAAATATTGTCGAAATTTTCCTATGAACGTTTTTACCGCGAGACACTCCTTTTCTGTTGTCGAATATTTTCTTTCTGTTTCACTTAAATTTTTACTACCATAAGCAACTACTACGTTTTTACCGTCAATGTCTTGTGTTAAAACTGCGCCTAGACCTGTGTCACTTGCGTCAGTTTCTAGTATGAAAGTGTGTTGAAAATCAGGGGGGTTTAAGATCGGAGCTGTCGTCAACAACTCGATCAGTTTTAATTTTGCTATTTCCTGATTTTCGTTCCAAGGCCATTTTACATTTTTACGTAGTAATTTTTGCAAAGGTTTGATTATTTCAGCGAAATGTGGAATAAATCGTCGGTACCAGCTAACCATTCCTATAAAACGTTGTAACTGTTTAATAGTTTTAGGGGTCGGAAATTCTCGAATAGGTTTGACTTTGTCGTCATCGATTTGCAGTCCTCTTTCGTTAACTACGAAACCTAGGTATTTTACCTCCGCACAACCGAATTCACTTTTTTCGAAAAAAAAAATTCTTTCAATTTTCCTAATACTATTTCCAGGTGCTTCATGTGTTCGTCGAAAGTCTGAGAAACTATAATTATGTCGTCAAGATAACAGAAAACTTTCGGTTTAAGGTCAGGCGTAATAATTTTGTCCATTAACCGCTGGAACGTTGCGGGAGCATTGCAAAGTCCAAACGGCATTCGCTTGTATTGGAACATTCCAAAACCAGGAACTACGAAAGACGTTTTTTCCTTGGACTTTTCACTCAACGGGATTTGATTATACGCCCACTTTAAATCGACTTTAGAAATGTATTTCGCGGCTCTGAGCATATCTAAAATTTCGGCCATTAACGAAACCGGATACAGATCTTTTTTCGTGACTGCGTTGACTTTCCGAAAGTCTAGGCAGAATCTGTATGTTCCGTTCGCTTTCTTGATCATAACAATTGGACTCGACCAATTGCTATTACTTGGCTCGATAATACCTTCGCGTATCATTCTCTTAATTTCCTTTAATTATTTCCTCCTTAATTTTCGGCGATACATAATAATATCTCTGTTTTATCGGAGCTGTACCCTGCGTGTCAATAACGTGTTCTGTCAAATAAGTAGCTTTCAAAATTTCCTCGGGGGTGGTAATTTAATTTTTAAAAATTCTTGTTCTTCCTCGGACAATGTCCGAGGTTCTTGTTCTTCTTCGGATTTTTTCAGGACTAGTTAGTCCTGAAAAAAATTCGGTTTCATCTAAATAACTCGATTCTCGCAATATTTTTTCCTGAATATTGTTGTTCATTATCGCGTTGTTTTTGAAATTAATCCATTTCGTATTTAACGGTATACGAAATTTATTTCTAATCGCCATAGAATTTTTCCGATTTTTATTTTCCGATTTTTGCGAATTTTTTCGTTTTCGCCCAATTTACGAAATTATTTCGCGTTCTCTAATTTTCTTGTTTAATTCCGCTTTTTTCTACCAATTTTTCTTACGGGGATTGTCGATTGGGAACAAAAATTGTTTGTCAGTCTCGTCAAGACCTGAGTCCATTTCTAAATTATCAAATCTGTTTGATAATGGGATATCCATTAATTTTGGAGGAATTTTTCGGGGTTTTGGTATTGGGATTTATGTAGGTGTTTTCGACTGTTGTAAGGATTGTCTTGGTATAATTTTTGGAATTTTCCTTTCATTTCTCGGGTCGACCCTTGGAAAATTTTTCGTAATTTTCCTACAATTTTCCGTATCGATACTTTTCGATTTTCCTAATTCGAATTTTTTCTCGATTTTTCCTGAATTCTCTATTTTATTTTCGAGTTTTAATTTAAAATTTTTTCCTGATTTTGACCTATTTTCCTGGGATTTTTGCGCGAAATTTTTACGATTTTCTTGTTGTGAACTGGACCATCCTGTTTGTGATCCCACTTCTCGTTTTGTCAAAACAGCTTTGACTATTTTATCGACTATTTTATTTTCCCTATCTCCGATTTTATATCGTACGTTAGGCAAGTCTTTTATTGACCACGTGTCAGATTCAAAATCTAATTACATTGCAAATTCGAGTATCATATCTATTCCTAAAATTGCATATTGTCTTAAACCTGGGACAATTCTGAAAGTCAAATTTTTCGTTATGTTACCTATTTCTACTGGTATTGTAACTTTTCCTGTAATTTGTAAACTTTCACCGTTGGCTGCTGTCACGAGTTTATTTTTCACTGGTTCTAATTTTACACCGTATAATTGCAAATATACCCAATTTTTGCGACCAAAAAATGAACTCGTAGCGCCTGTGTCGATTAACGTTTCGAAAATTGTATCCTGGTATTTAATGTTAGTGAAAAATCGTAAATCTTTCACTAACGTTTCGCAACTTTCTGGTAATTCAATATTTTTTGGGGATACTGGATTTTTCAGTACCCCCTCTACTCGTTTCCCTGATTTTCTGACCTACAATCTCTACGAATGTGACCTACTTTTCCGCAACAGTAGCATTTTTTAGGATGACTTTTCTCGTTTTGGATCGTTTTGGAAGTATAACCGTTCCCTGCAGAAGAACGGTTTGGTACTGCCACTTGAAGACTATTATTTGGATTATTATTGTCACCGGAAGGACCTTCTAACATTTTCTGATTATTACTACCGTTTGTAGTTGCGTCAGGTGGAAAAGTGATTTTTGGCTGATTTTTTTGCGGATAATTTCCAGAATGATTTGATTGAAATCGCGAGTTTCCACCAAACTTTCTGGAATTTCCGTTATTTCGCTGATTCGTAGTTTGTTTCGATTTATCATTAGACGAGTTTTTATCTGTTGTGATTTTTAAATATTGTCCGCGAATTTTAGACTTATTTATTTCAATCTCGAATTCTTTACCTAAACTTACTAATTCTTCAAACGTTTTAAAATCGTTTCATTGTATATACATTTTATATTCTATCCTCATGTTTTCGTAAGCGCGACGTAACTCCCAATGTAAGCCTTTTTTCGGGTATAATTTTCCGAATAATTGTCTTATTCCAATGAGAAAAGTTTGAATTTCTTCTCCCTCTTTTTGATTGCAATATTTTATTTTCGTGTTAATTTCCTCATAGAACTTTTCGTCTAAAAATGTTCTTTCAAATTCTTCACGAAAATCTTGTAGAGAAAACCAATTTCTTCTAACCGTCCTACACCATTCAAGGGCTTCGTCCGCTAATACTGCGTCAATATTTTCTAATACACGATTTTCTGGGATTTCGTAACCTCACATAAATCTGAACAATTCTTCTAAAAATTGTACTGGGTTGTCCGTTTTGTTATTACGAAATTTAACTGGCCAATTTGACATGATTTGAAAAGGTGTTTGTAACATGCCAAAAGGAAAATGGTTATTGAAATTTCCAAAATGTCGA